TAAATCTACAAAGCACATGTATGCTGGCTTTCCATATTCAATAGATTTCTCTATTATTTTTCTGATAATAATGCTATTGTGCTGCGGTTCTTCCGGAAGCCTTGTTGTTTATCTGCCATGTTCACTTTTCCCTCCATTTTATCTTTTATGACTGCCGTTAACAATTTTCATGTACTATTCATCAGACTAATGCCTCTACAATTTTCAGGATTTGCAGGATTTTTTAAGTATCGATAGCAGGAGACTTTCCTTCTATTCCGCTGGTAGTACACCGGTATTTATTCTATCGACGAATAATTTTATGTCCCAAATGCAGCCCCATACCTTCACCACCAAACTGTACTCTAGGTGAGAAGCAATATTGGGCATATCGTTCTCTAGCCTTCCCCATACTCTTTGACGACCATCAGGTCCTTTATTGGATGCAGCTCATCGAAGATAAAGCTTGGAGTTCTCTCGTGCTCATGCACATTGCGAATATGGAAGATTGGACTGTTTACAGACTGAACATAATGTTTATCCAATCTTCCATATCTCAATCTGCATGAACACGAGAGAATTCCAAGCGTTGCCTTTGATGAGCTCCGTCCAATAAAATTCCTGCAGAAGCTACATGATATGATACATTTTGTTCGCTAGGTGACTAACACATCGAGAAAGGGAAGGGACCGATTATTTTCTACTTCCATTGTAAAAACTCAGATTCATCTGAGACTTCAGAATCAAAAACTCGGATTCAAGAGCATCAAAGATGCATTCGATCAGGTCTTTTCTCCCATTCTGCAGTTGCAGAACACTGCCAAGAAACCGGTCATTCCATATTGTTCGAAAAAACCCATATTATTTTTAAGAGGCCCTTCTTTTATTCCAGGAAAATCCGCGAATCTCTAGAGATCCGAAAAAATCCACATAATATCAATCGAGAGGAAGGATACTACTTGTCTCCCATCTGGAATCTCAGTCTAGAGCCGCCGTCCGGTCCCGCTACCACGATGCAGCCACATGATTGGCCAGCGCGCGCTCCTTGACGTTCGCGCCACGGAGTGTGCCGATACGTCCCGACACGACAGGTCACCGCGACTATAAATAGAGCGGTAGCGGAGTAATCGTCGGATTCACTCCCCGCCTCTCGACGCGTTAGTGTTCTGAGCTGTTGGACGTGAATCCCTGTCCTGGCATTTGGTTTTCACCTCTGGCTGCGTTGAGTAGTTGAATTACTGTGACCAAATTGCCCATCTTGGTAGTTAGTATTCGCCTCTGGTTGCGTTGAGTAACTGAGTTACCGTTGCTAACTACCCATCTTCCTGTCTTTGTTTTCTTTTCTTTGTTCTCCTGAAGAAGCTACATACAATTGTAGCGAAACGTCGAGATGAACCCACTTTTGGGTCACTCACAAATGACACGGTCCAAACCCGGAAGACGAATAAACTATAATTCTGACTCTGGCCGTGGAAGCCTACGATTTCAGGGGTAACAATACAATACTTTACAGATATTGGATTTAAGATACCAGCCTGGCCTCCTAGAAGTCCAGACCTCAACCCCAAAGAGCATTTATGAGAGACATTGGCAAGAATAGTACGCCAAATTATGGTGACTTTGAAACATATTGGTGGTAGCATATTAAGAGGCGTTGGTAAACGAGTCGGAACAACAAGTATCGCAAAACTTACTTTGCTGCTTTAATCCAGGCTATGCCAGAAAGCACGAGAGCTGTTATTCGGACCGGAGGAGAAATTACTCGATTTCATTATTCATATTTTAGAATTACTTTATGATTTCGATTTGGAAAGTTTCTTATTCCGAAATAAAAAAGTAAGTTTTCCGTAAGTTTTCATTTGATGCTAAAATAATCCATGGTACAATGAACACATTTATGATACATAATGTTCCAAAATCGGTTCGCTTCGCGCTTGACGTAGTAAAAAACCCTTCTTTACGCAACTCTGGAGAACATTGTACTCTGGTGAACAGTACTCTGGTGAACATTGTGTCAAGAAAAGGAACATATTGGTTTTTATCCTCTTTTTCAAGAGTAAATTGAATGTGGGAGTCATAGCTATTGAAAATGTCTAAGAGCTCAGTCTCTAAACCTAGCGGACACGACATATTAATATCATCAACATACTTTTTAATAAAAGGAACGTTAAAAGGAACAACTTGTATCCAACAGATCGTCCATTACATATGTAGCCAGAATTGGAGAGATAACTAAGGGTTTTTCATCTTTTAACCCTGCTGTACCGTTCGAGTAAACTACACAAATGTACTGTTCGGGTCAATATGACCCAACTATGATTTACGCTCCCTAATAGAAATAAAATAAGCTAATGGTGCTAAACAAAACTGTATTAATAAAAAATTATAGTTAATTAAACAATAATTATATTGTTACTGTAAATTAAACCTTATTAACAAAAATAAAAAGCATTTTTTATTTCCCAGAAAACCCTAAGAACAAATATCTACAAAATTTAATTCAGTTTACAACTGGGACAGTAATAGAAAGAATGGGTTTTACAAATATGTTTATGACATATACAACATAAAATATTAGTCTTGTTATCCCTTTTAGAGCAAAATTTACAGCGTGCTCGTTTAGCAGGCGGAGTTGGATGGTCCATAGACGGTTCACTAGAATTTCCATCTTCTCTACTCGCTTCTGCTCGTGTTCTTTTTACCAGTTCTTGTGAGTCTTTAGTTCTCGGTAAATTTTTCCTGGAAAGGATAAGTGGTTTCACCAGTGTTTTTCCCAACTCCTCAAGAAAAATTCGTCGTTTTGTAAGTTTATTGGTATTCCATTGGGAATTTATCGATGTCCATAAAACGAACGCGTTGTAGGCAGAAATGTCCAGCATATTGTAAAAAACAATCATGGGCCAGCGATTTGTCCTTCTCTTACATGTATATGTACCAACAAGCTGATCTAGAGTATCCACTGCCCCCTTACTGGAATTGTAATCTAAAATAATTTGGGGCTTCTTGTCATTTCTGTCACTAATAGCCTTTTCATGATGCAAAGTACTCATAAGAATAACATTTTTATTCTTTTTAGGAATATAGTTAACAACAGTGGTATCTTGTGTGAAGTAAAAAGACGAACTATGAACTTCTTTATTCGCAATTTGTGCTGGAAGCTCTCGTTTATTTTTTCTTATAGTCCCCAGCATTGTATTTTTTCTTTTTAGAAGAAGTTGTCCTAAATTGTACGATGTAAAAAAGTTATCACATGTAATATAGTGGCCTTTCAAATCACTACTCAAGTCGCACACCACACGCATTCCCTGATTTCGTTCTGGCGCGGCACCTGCTTCCTTTCCTGTATAGATCTGCAATTTTAGAGCATAAGAACTTTTACTGTCACATAAGGCCCAAATTTTTATGCCATATTTCGCTGGCTTGCTTGGAATGTACTGTTTGAATGGACAGCGGCCTCTAAAGGCAACTAATTGCTCGTCGACGGTAACATTTTCATCAGGGTTAAAAAATTTTGGTAGATTTTCAACCCATTTTTCCCAAATTTCACGTATTGCAGCAAGTTTATCAGTACGTCTCCTATCCTGTCTAGTAGTCTTGTTATCAAAACGTATTACTTGCGAAATTTTTGTAAATACTTCAAGGGACATTGTTGCTCGAAATATACTACGACCCGTTTCTTCATTCCACAAACTTTTAGTTGATTCACCATGGGACTTAAAAACTCCAGCTAACAATAACAGACCAATGTATGCTTGAAAACCAATTTTATCTAAGTCTTTCCAGTTGTTTCCAAAAACACGCTGTCCTTCCATGTTGGTCATATTTATAATTTGGTTTGCAACTATGTCAGAAAAGAGTGCGTCAAATGAATTTTTAATATCGAAAATTCGTGCACATGCGTACCTTGTAACTCCTGGAGCATTATTTATAACATTGGCCGTAGAAAAACGACCGCGTTGATAAGGAGGATCGAGCGACCATTGGATAGTATCGTCTTTTGAAGGAACCGTTACAGAAGGTTCTACAGGATGTTGTACGTAGAATGGAACACCAAAGGATTCATCACTACTTTCTTCCTCACTCTCACTACTTGTATTGTTTTCTGTTTCTGATATGCACTCATCACTCTCTGACACGTTCGCGAGCTCGCGAAGCTCATCTTCGGTTAGCGCTCTACGGTGCGACATTATCAACATGCAAACATAGACTGAAATTTGAAATATAAACGAATAAATGAATGCGCTTCGCCTTGGAATATTAGTGTTTTACCACTTGTCTATCACCCCCACTTCCTTTTACGTGACATGCCATTCTACCTGACATCGTCCAGCTACACTACACATATTTTACAAGTTCTAGCTTGTAGAAACTTGTTTTTATTTATAGACGTACCTGACTGACAAACACTATTAGAAAATATAAAATACTACCAACTAAACATACCTATATAGGTAATTTTTAACGGTTTAAATAAGTGGGTCATATTGACCCGAGCGTACCATAGGTAACAATTTAATTTTTATCAAAAAAATGAGCAAGTTGATTTTTTATCTTTTATGCAATTGAAAGACCTCATATTAAGTAATAAAGTCACGAAACACCAAAACGTTACGCCGCGTAATAATTTGTAAAATAAGAAATAATATTTTTTTTGGGTCAAATAGACCCGAACAGGACAGCAGGGTTAAGTGCCATACGCTTCCAGTGTTTAGACATTCATCTGCCATTTATTTGTAATTGTCTCTTTCTAGCATCTTACAAAGGGTAAAGGTTGCGTCTTGCATATACAGTTTTTAGATTGGTTCTTCGATATTAATGATTAGAGAAGACACATTGTATACGACACTATTTGGATTTTATGTACACATCGTAAATTTGAGTCTTTCGGATATTCAATGACATCTTAAGCCTCTTTTTTTTTTTAATAATTGAAGTTACTGATTACCTAAAAACTAAAACAATGATATTTTTATTAAATATAATAATTTACGAGTATTATTAATTGCAATTTAATTTTTTAGGTATACTCTACGAATCTTGTGTTAATTACTGCCAAGCCAAAGCGACGGGTAGCACCGACTCACAATCACAAGACATGAATTTCAGTAAATTATTAGACGGAAGTGTAGGTTTTAGTGATTCAGATTTAAGTTTACTTTCGTGGTTGCAAAGCGTCCCCTCAGAAACATTTTCTGTCCCATTCGAACAACGTACCCTTAACGTCGACGTCGAGCGGTTGGAAAGACCTAGTTTGGAGACTTCCTGGACGGAACATATGCTGATAACGCCCATCAAGCCAAAAACTTTTCCTCATTCTGCGATGCCCTTCACGAGACCTCGGTCGGCGGCCGATATTATGTCGCGGTCGTTGATGCTGCCAATGGGAGATGGGCTACAGTTCGCACAAAACAATAATATGTCCACGTCTGCCAGGATGATGGTCTTAAGCACTGGTGATATTGGCTTGAATAGGCCTATGTCGAGGAGTAGTTTTGCTAGCTTTCATTTGACTGGTAAGTTGTATAAAAATACAGTTCGCCAAAAAAGTATTGGATCACCAATGACACTGCAAATTTTGTATTAAAAATAATTTAAAACATGGATTTTTTTTCTGTTGTTTTTTTTTGTTTTTTAAGTGCTTAACAAGTATCAAAAAGAAATGCAAAATTTACAAAAAAACAAAGGTTTTATTTAATTTATTTAATAAATTAGAAGTAAGCGCACAAACACCATTGAATAAAATGAAATAAAAATCAAAAGTAATGATAATTTAGTAAGACGTATTGCCCCCTTAGCTCTTATAACATCTAGACAACGTTGCGGCATACTTCCAATTAATATTCTTAGATAATTTTGATCGATATTATCCCATTCTACGGTTAACAACCGTTGCAGGTCCTGAATATTAGCTGGCGTCACATTACCAGATCTCTCCCTTCTGTAAAGATGGTTCCAAACATGTTCTATTGGATTTAAGTCCGGGCTGTGCGCTGGCCAATTCAAAACTTGTAAATTTACCTCTTAAAGGTACTCGGTAACTATTCTTGCGACGTTTGGGTGTGCATTGCCATGCATTAAAACAAAGTCATTACCAATAAATGGGGCGTAAGGAACAACATGCATCTTCAAAAATTCTAATTCTCCATAATGTACCCATCAGCAGTTAAGGATCCTCTATCTAGCTGTGCCTAAGCCTAGCTTAATTCAGCGATGTCGGGATGTAAATGTTGATCTACACTTGTGCTTCGTTGACTACGAAAAAGCTTTCGATAAAGTAAGACATGAAAAACTAATATCAATACTTATGAACAAGCGCATTGACAGTAAAATTATAAATATAGTGCAAACATTATATTGGAACCAAAGTGCCATAGTTCAAATTGATGGGCAACACTCAGAAGAAATGAGGATCTGTAGAGGAGTTAGACAGGGATGTGTGTTATCACCACTTTTGTTTAACTTATATTCTGAAGAAATTTTCCAAAACACGCTCAATAATATCGAAGCGGGAGTCACCGTTAACGGAAAATTAATTAATAATTTAAGATATGCAGACGACACTGTGATCATAGCAACGAGTATAGAGGATCTACAACATCTTATCGAAAGCTTGAGTATAAATAGTGCTGAGATGGGAATTAATATAAACACTAAAAAAACGAAGTACATGCTGATTACAAAAAGGCCACAAAATATACATCACCTATTGACAATAAATGGTAACGTGATAGAACAAGTAGAAAAATATCAGTATTTGGGAACTTTGATCAATGAAAGCAATGATCATACTGTAGAAATAAACAGACGAATAGATATTGCCAGATAAGCATTTATACGAATGAAGCCACTCCTAACGTGCAAAAATCTAAATTTGGAGATCAGACTACGTACCATTCGCTGTTATATATTTTCAATATTATTATATGGAGCTGAGACTTGGACATTAAAAAAATGTAATTTAAAAAGAATCGAGTCCTTCGAACTCTGGTTATACCGCAGAGTATTGAAAATATCATGGACTGATAGAATTACAAATAAAGAAGTACTGGAGAGGGTTTGTAAAGAAACAGAACTAATCACCACTATACAAACCAGAAAACTGGAATACCTAGGCCACGTGATGAGGGGACCAAAATATGAAATTTTGAGACTGATAATACAGGGAAAGATTCAAGGAAGAAGATCTGTTGGTCGAAGGCAGAACTTATGGTTAAAGAATCTACGTGATTGGTACCAATGCAGATCGATTGATTTGTTTAGAGCAGCAAGTTCTAAAATAAAAATAGCCATTATGATTGCCAACCTCCGTAGGAGACGGCACTCTAAGAAGAAGATCTAGCTGTACCGATTCGGTTTGGCCGCTAAGAGATATTCCGCCCCAGAGCATAATAGATCCTCCTCCAAAGTTTGTCGCCGGTCTTAGGTTGCACTAAAAATAACGCTCGCCATCTCGTCTATAAACTGTTATTCTTCGATCCGAAGTGTATAAACAATATATTGACTTATTTGTAAAGAGTATGTTACCTCAGTCGTCGATATTCCAGTTTACATGCTCTCTTGCAAATGTTAAACGTGCTATACGGTGTTCCCTTGTAAGTCTCGGGGCAGTGGCAGCTACTCTGACTGTCTTAAGATGTGCCTAACCGTTTCTGAAGACACGCGCACATTTCGGATCTCGGCTAAGTCGTGTTGAAGTTGACTTGCAGTCACAAGGCACTTGCTCTTGGCCGACCTGTTACAATAAAGACCAGTCTCTCGGTACCTTACTGCCACTTGTTATACTGTCGACTGATTTACATCCACTAAATTTGCCATATATATCTGACTCCTTCCGTCTTCAATGAGGGAAATTATTCTAACTACTTGATCTCTCGTTAAATTTAAATTTATATTGTCACGACCTTCCATACTCAATATTTAATACGAAATTTTAAATTAAACGCAAACTGTATACGTTTTACAAAACTAAAATAAAGACTGATAATATAAAAACCAGACAAAATAGCAATTAACATTTTTTTTCTTAAACAGTAAGCTGTATTTACAAATTACTTTTTAATACATTGTTACGAACATGCATTCAGCGTGGCCCGCCTAACGGTCGCATCTCGAAGCACCAAGAAGTTTCGGCGATATATCGAGCGCTGTAAAATTCCACCCGTCAAATAACGAATTAGAGGTGGGACTACTCTCGAATATTCTCGAACATAATACTTTGGTATATATATGTAACGAAATTATGAGTTAAGTTAGTTGATAAGAGAATACCGAACTGTAAAGTTATAAATAAATATATTTATATAAATTCGAACCGCTCGTTTTATTTAAAAACGGTACAATATATTCTAGCCTTAATATTTTTAAGTACCAGAAAGAAAAAATTAAAATTAACCAAATGCTGTCAAAAATATTTGTAATTTTATAAGTGATACGATACTTTATTGGCGGAGTATTTATCGAAACGTTTAAGATTATAATAATTCCTTATTTTTATTAGTAATTTACATTTGAAAGTCTGGTTTAATAGTTTTCCGCTCGTACCCTACCCGCCTTACCTTTCTTAATGGCCTTTCACAATTTATGCATAAGCGATATAATTCATTTTGTTAATGTGCTTTCAAATAATGGTTTCTATTGATTAGTTTCTCATGTTATAGTTTGTTAATATTGTTTTTATTTTCTCGTATATAATATCCTAAGAGAGAAAATTTTGCCGGCAATTTTTTCGACTGGTATGAGAGTTTGTTGCCTGGCAATTTTCGCGAATTAAATTTTGACAGTTAAATCATAAGAACTCTTCTTATGTCTCATGAGATGAGTTCAACTCATGTTGGTTCAACAATTTAACAAATGCTTAAAAGGACAAAATATCCCTGATGATTGGAATATTGGATATATCAGCTCCATATTAAAGAGAGGGGATAAACGCAAATCTGTCATAATTTTTTTTTGCTGAGAAATCACGGATAGGAAGGAGTTTTGTTAGTAGGAAACGTGGAGTTGCTATGACGTTTTATCAGTTAAAAATAGTCTACTGACATACTCATTTTTATATAGTTCCTACCAATATTTTTGGGACTACTAGGAATAAATTAGAAAGCATGTGAAGAGAGCACTTCGACAATAACTTCACAATTTTTTTGTTGTCTTTATCCCAACATATTGAGCCAGCGATATTGTAATTGATGCTGTTCTTAGATTCCGAATTCCATTTTTGAATGGTTCTTGAAGCCCACAAAATAGTTCAGTCTAGTAGAGATGAGTTTCTTCTTCTTCTTCATGTACCATGTCCTTTCAGAACGTTGGTTACCATCATAGTTATTTTAATTTTATTCACTGCCACCCTAAATAGCATGCTTGTATCTACACCATACCAATCTCGCAAGTTCTTCAACCATGAGGTTCTTCTTCGTCCTGGACTGCGGTTGCCTGCTATTTTTCCTTGCATGATATTTTGTAGCAATCTATATTTGGGACCTCTCATAACATGTTCGAAATATTCCAGCTTTCTCTGCTTGATGCTTTTTATGATCTCAGTGGTCTTGCTGAGACGTTCAAGTATTGTGGAGTTACGAATCTTCTCCACCCAGGAAACTTTTAAAATTCTTCTATAGCACCACATTTCGAAAGCCTCAAGGCGATTTAGATCGATTTTATTCACAGTCTAGGACTCGACAGCATAAAGTAAGACCGAGAACACGTAGCAGCGAAGTAGGCGGATCCTTAATGCCAATTTTAGGTCTCTGTTACATAACACCTTGGACATCCTTCTAAAAGCAGCTCTAGCCTGCTCTATTCTGGATCTAATTTCACCGTGATTTTCTGCATTACAATTTAATTGCTGTCCAAGGTAGACGATTTTATCAACTTGCTCAAGTTTGGTATTATTTACATATATAGACGGTTTTATATTCTGTTGTTTACTTATTACAAGTATTTTGGTTTTCCTTATGTTAAGATCCAGACCTGCCTCCCTACAACTCTCAACGACACTATCAAGTAGTGTTTGCAGATCTTCTTGACTAGAAGCTAGGAGTACTGTATCGTCCGCATATCGCAAATTATTGATGACTTCGCCGTTCACAAGTATTCCTTCTTGTTTTTCAGAAAGTGCTTTTCTGAAAATTCTTTCGGAGTAAACGTTAAAAAGCAGGGGTGACAAGAGGCATCCCTGCCGTACTCCTCTTTTAATATTGAGAGCTTCTGATTCCACACCATCTACTAAAGCTGATGTTGTTTGATTCCAATATAAATTTGCAATTATTCGAACATCTCTGCCGTCCAATTTTAAATCCCTTAGGACTTTTCCTTAGTACATAAGACTTTTCTCATTTTGTTGAAATTTGCTCTAGCCTTTTCTATTCTGATTTTGATCATTGATTCAGATATGCATATTTGTCCACTTGTTCGGCGTTGATTCGGTTTATTAGAAGATTTGTTTCTTTATTTCTTTGACTTTTCGATATCTTCATAAATTTTGTCTTATTGAAGTTCATTGTTAGACGGTACTCTTTTCCATACTCCGCTATTCTGGTCACCAGTCTTTAAAGATTTTCAATTTTTTCGGCTAAGATCACAGTGTCGTCCGCATATCTAATGTTGTTAATGGGAATTTCATGTACCTTTATTCCAGCTGTTTTACCCTCAAGAGCTTTTTTCAGGATCTCTTCGGAGTAGGCATTAAAAAGAATTGGCGACAATACGTATCCCTGTCTCACTCCACATGTAATTTAAAATTCTTCCGACAGCTGTTTATTACCACATACTTTTGCTCGCTGTTTATAGTATAAATTTGATATGATCCTGAGGTCGTTGTAGTAAATCTTCTTTGATTTCAGGACATTTATTAATTGTTCATGTCGTACTTTATCGAATGCTTTATTATAGTCAATAAAACATGCGTATATATCTTGATTGACGTCAAGGCATCTTTGTATCAGTATATTAAGTGAAAAAAGGGCTTCACGCGTTCCTAGGCCTTTGCGAAAACCAAATTGTGTGTCATTAACGTCTATATCCAGTTTGTGATATATTCGGTGATGGATGACTTCTAGTAGTAACTTTAGCATCTCCTATTGGTGGTTGGATATCGTCATAACTATGATCACGTTGCTAGCTACTACTCCGAATAGCTGTAAACAGCTGTAGATAAACCATACTTCAAGATTTTCCATCCAGGAAATTTAACATATCGACATTTATTTATTTTTATGTTGCCACAGTATTAATTGTTTCTTATATTTCCAGGTTTAAAGAATAGTAGAAACATGAACGCCTCCGTTGACCGATTGTTTGAGAACGAGGGCGACGTTTTTCTGAGCAACAGTTACGGAGACTTCCAACAGCACATGCCATCGATACAAGAACAAACCAGCACGCCAAAACCGAGTGCCAACAATACTCTACCAAGCTGCCCGAAAAATCCTATCGTTGATAGAAAATCGAATACCTCAACGCCGGAACCCAAAGACAGAGATAGCCCTGCTCCTACTGGACCTGAAATGTAAATTTTAGTGTTTAAATAATATTTACTTGGGCGATAAAGTGTAACAATATAACTAACTACCTCTGAAAGTTGGGAGTCAATGTATAACGATAAAACTCACAACTTTTTTTAGTAGCCAATTGTTAGGTTGCGTCTAGCTCAGTCTCTCAGATATGAGAACGTCTTACAGTCTGTCCCAAACCCTTTTTTCAGTGCGTCACTAATTTTAACGTCATATAGGATTTTAAGAATGTCGAGAATTATTGCATGACATTTTAGTTAAATCTGACAGTTGCAGGATCGTAATCGGCTAAACGTGAAAAGGTTATTTTTTTTTAATGCATAGCAGTTTTTCATAATTCTATTCTATTCTGTTCTATTTTATACATTCCATGGAAAGTGCTTAATTAGCTAAGATTTGTTTATGGATTTATTATTATTTATTACAAACACTAGGGAATTGGAAGGTTTGTTTATTTAAAATAACGCTTCCTCCTAGAATCTTTTAAGAGTTGACTGCAAGGTAAAAAAATTTACTGACAATTTCAAGGCATCAAAGTAAACATTCCTGTGATAAAATAATATCGATTTAAATCAGTCATATTTGGATAAGTAATTTTCTGATAAGTTTGTGGCAGCCAATAGTTTAATTTTGTGAAGAGTTGTCATTAAATAGTGGAAATAGTTTAAATAGTGAAGCAGTTCATTTTTAAGTTATTCTACCAGATTTGGTGTGCAAATGAAAGAAGGTTATAAAGTTTAGTTAAAAAAAAAACAATATAAATAGTTTAAATAGTGAAGCAGTTGATTTTTGAGTTAATCTACCAGTTCCGATATCCAGATGAAATCGTGCTAATGGAGTTTAGTTAAAAAACAAGATACCGAATGTAAGATTACCTTCTTTTTTATGAATAACAAAAATGAATATTATATTTCAAACAATTTATAATCCCATTCAGAATCTGATTCTTGAAAATCAATGATTACACTAGATATGTGGCTGGTATCAATTATATCCTACATTTCAAGAAAATGTCGTGGTTCTAAAAAGAACTGTTTTAATACATATAAATATCCATAAAGGCATTAGTTTAAGATATTTCCTCAATCTCATTCCGGAATTCACAATCTGATTCGCGAACGACAGAAACTGATAATAAAGATGTCTCAGCCTCTTTTTCTAATTGAAACTAATTTAATAATTTTAATATTAGTCTTTTTTCATTCTCGGTATATCTCGGAATATTTAAAATATTTTTATGACAATAAATACAAAAGTTAATTTTCACTGTAGTTAAAATGTCTGAAAATACTAACCTGGAATGGCAATTATCATTTTATCAGTTGACATTGTGAAAGTACTGTCACTGTCATTGTCAAGATCATCTGTGTCAAATTTATTTATATGCATAATTGATTGGATATCTATTTAGCGTATTCTAAACGCCAACCAATTATACGTTCGTAAGTAGAATTCGCGTTAATATGCGAATACCCGTGAACGATACCTAATTTTCTAAGTTCTATGTATAATAATCAGTGACTCACGTTTTTTTCTGTCACTTCTAGCTTAATGCGTTAGAGAGAATTCGAACAACTATGACGCACTGAAAGAAGGGTTTGGGACGGACTGTATCTTAAATGTAAATCTGAAAACGAGTTTGGCTGGGACAAATAAATCAAGATAATAACTAACATTTCCTCCTTTATATTTTCTCATTCGTAAGGATGCAGTGGCGTCATGTAATTTGTTTGACTATTTCTGTCCAATTATCTCTCTCCTGTGGGTGTTGTTTTGCTTCGGAGGATGAGTAACCAGTCATCTCTTTTATTTGGTCCGACCATCGTACTGGAGATCTTCCTTTGGATCTTTTACCCTCTACGTTACCTTCAACTATCATTCCCATGCCTTCTCTTCTTCTAGTTAATATGTCCAAAATAGCTCAGTATATTTTGGTTGATAGTTGTGATGAGTCTAGTTTTTATGTTAAGTTCTGCTATCTCATGCTGTACTGTATCTGACCGACTATATCCGTCATCGTCATTCGGATGAGCCTAACTAGTTTGGGCAGTATTTTAAATTTACTTAATATTTTGTATAGATGTGCTCTGTTTTATTGAGTCATATGCTTGTTTAAAGGCGACGAAAATATAGACACTTATGTCATGTTCTTAGGCTTTGCTTAAAATCTGCTTAATCGTGAAGACTTTAAGTTAAATCTTCTAGTTCCATGACCGTTATCGATCGTTGGATATCATGTTGGCTACCATATTCGTATGCGTGCAGCGTGGACACTGCTCTATCAGGTACAATACCCTGCCAGGTACGTAAGTCGTCTACAAACAATTCCGAGTTCCAACATCGAAAAGATTATAATACCCATGTTCGTCCGTCTAAAGATCTGGTCTGAAAGAAGGGCTCATGCAAGGTAGCGAACTACGATTGCCTAGTAAAGTCCCATTGTTTTGAGCCTTTAGACTCTCAGAACTCCAAGAGATATCTTTGTCACGTTTGACTAGAAAGGATACGGCCTTAGAGGCGTTCAGGCATAATCCCACTGATGGTAGCTTCGCACCATTACCCGCTCGAGTAAATGCGTCAACCAAATGTCCGAACCTGCGGTTCCTCTCGTACTGAGCAGGATTACTATCGCAACGACGAGTCATCAGTAGGGTAAAACTAACCTGTCTCACGACGGTCTAAATTAAATCTTAACGACGGTTAAATCTTTAATAACCACGCAGCAAAGAAAATCCCCTATAGTTTTGACAGAGGAGTTTATCTCTGTTTTTATGGATTGGGCAAATGATACTTTTATTCCACTCTTTTGACGTTTTCTCTTTTCCCCCTATTGTTTGTTTTTCGGGCCTTTATCATTGTTTTTCCAACTTCTAGAAGACTTTCAGTCTTGTAGTTTTTTTAGATTAATTATTTTTAAATCAAGTAACCATATTTTTGTAAGTTGTTTTGAAAAGACCAATGTCATAAAGGAACCAGTCTATTGCAAGATTCTTCACTAAACCGAACTGTCGATACATGCTTATGTATGCCTCTTATGTTTTTACAACAAATGGGTTTCTTATGCATTTCTCAACCCTGACAAACACCCTATCTGATGATAAAAAACTGTTGTCACGTACCGCAAAAGTTATTTTAATTTCTTCTAATTATGGAGGTCCCTTGACTTTACGCCAATAATTTAATGCATGAAATATGCGTGAATTCTCGTTTTGTCCTCTGCTTGTACCACAAAAAGTTACAGCGTCTTTATTCCATCTAGATTGAATGAGTCCAAATGATGCAGAAGAGCAGATCCAATTTGCACAGTCCCCCGTCAGTCAACCCCGTCCAGCTTGATCCTCGTTCCACGTATAAAAATGCATCAGATATGGGTATTTTATACAATGGCTGGACCTATTGCAAGTCAAAACATTTTAATTTGGTACGTGATTCTCATTCAAGCAGTCAAGGGAAAGATTAAGAGCGTAGGCGCAAAATTTCGGCCATTTCGGCAAAAAGTACCTTAGAATAAACGAAAAGTTTTTTTTGAATGATATTTAAAATTCAAAATCACACTAAATCCCTTCTTTTTCACCTCTATAACTTATTAAAATAATCATTATAGAAGTTTGCAGGGACTTTCGGCCCTCACTAATAATGCAATCTTTCATTCTGCATCTAAATTTTTCAAAAATACTTATTAGTTTTCTCAGGATTCGAAAAAACGAATGCATTTAAAAAGCATTGGCCCGAATTTTTGCGCCTACGCTCTTAAATTAAAATCCTTTCTGAAGATTCTTGAAAACATTGACAGTTTTTATTTTTTTTTTGACTTTTGATCTTCTCCTCTTTTGTCTTTTGGTACTTCCTCTGCATGAATGCTATTTGCAACTCTAGTTATATCTAGTATGTTACTGATAACTTACAAGATTTTAAAGGCATGGATTTTCTTCGTCTCTTTACTTCAGAGGCACTCATATTATGACAATTCTTGCTCATTTCTATTAGTTGAGCTGTAAATTTTTTTCTTATTTCTTTTGATATCAGCCATATTATTACACTGGTAACTACGGCCGTCGTGATTATATGGTCCTTTGAAATTTGTTAAAGCAGTTAATGTGGTTCTACTTATTAGGTTCCACTGGTCTCCTAATATTGTCTCTTCATTTTCCTTATATTCTGTCAGCTTCATCCTCTTATTTCTTGAAATTTCTTCGGGGCTTTTTAGTTTTCTCAGATGTACAATTTCCTTTCTTGGTAAGTTTTTTTGTCAGTCTGCTGATCCTACATATGAAGTGTACCTGAACTAGTAGGTTGTCTGAGCCGCACTCTCGACTTTTTACGCCCAAAATGCTTGTTGCTGATCGCTTTTCTATTAAGATGTGGTCTAAGATGGTATACATATCTTGGAGTAACTCATTCCACCTCTCGTCTGTACCTTACTTCTTAAGATATCTTGATGTTCGGTTGTGATAGAGTACCGCCCAGCTCAGTACGGAATATGCATTGATTTGTACCAATTTTTTTGCAGGACACCTCGACCAGACTACTATGACAGTAGAACAGCAGCACAACCCGTGATATTCAGTTCCTGTGCCGCTGCAAATACGGAAGCAGGTGCAATTCAACCAATTGATCACAATTATTCTGGAGAATTAGTTAGGGAATTTCATAGAACAAAGCAGAAACTACAAGAGGAGCTCATACAGCGGGAAAAGGAACGGGAAGAACTAATTAAGCAAATAAACAGTGATAATCAGAAATTTAGTGGAGGAGATAGGTAAGTGAATCAAAGTTTGACATTTATCTTATATCTATATTAATATTTCTTTTAAAAATTACTAGGTAATATTTAAAATATCAGTATCAGTTTTTATATTTTATATTTGTGTGATGGTATATATCTACAATGGGATTTTTCTTCTATTTTATCTACTTTTTTCTTCAATGCCTTGTTTTCCTATTTTGTTCTTTCATTTTCTTCTTTAAGTTTTCTAATATTGCCTGTATATTATCCCAGCCTTTATTTCGTACACATAAGCAATTAGGATTGCTAACAATTTAAAAAATTTGCACCAGTTTATCTTCTTTTGTGATCATGATATTTTTGAGCTTTTAGCAAAAATCTTCGTCACGCCGTCAAATTTTGTATCAGTTCATAGTGTTCCTTATTCTTTTTTTAACGTAAATCTTCGTGGTTGTTCGGATATAATTCTTCGTAAAGGCAATGAAGCCAGCTTTACTTAGTAACAAGATATTTACCCAACACAAATAAGGGTTAAGACTTTTTCTAGATTAGAAATTATATATTATTGAACAAATAATTATTTTGAACACTTTTTCTCAGAAATACTCTCGAGAAGCAATAAATATTAGATCAGTAGCGTCAAATATGTCAAATTGTCATAAAAGCAACATACGCAATGATTTGAACACAATTAACAATAATTTAGTTAGACTATTATATTTTTTCTGAACGATTCTGAAATCGATTCTGAACGATTCTGACTTAAAAGTCTAGAAATCGTTCTCAAAATGCGAATAATCTAATCATAACTATGACATTTGTTGTCAATTGGCGATAAATAAATTCTTTTGTCAATTTAACTTTACCTCTTTCGCAAAATTATTGTCTTGTAATTACTGTCGTAAATAAACACAATCATGAATCTGGTTTTGGACTATAGGCAACACACAAAACACATGTGTACAGCGGTTGCCTACCTAGTAGATTTCAGTCAGAAACTCTGCCTAAATGAAAAAATCAACATAAATCCTTTTACGTTAAATTTTACTAAAACGGATATTGTGGCTTGATCTTAATTTGTCTTTGAAATTAGAGTATGCAATGACCATAATTGTAATGACAGGCAAATGCAAAAATATACTTTACTAGAGTTTTTTTTTTCATAAAAGAATTATTTGTCTTAATTTTATTGACTAATGACAAGTCCACAGTCAACAGCACATACAAATGGTGGTTTAATATATTATTTCAGTGTATTTACATAGTTTTTCTCGAAGTTTCGAGAGTTTTTCTTTATATCATACAAATGAGCGGTTTTCACCTTGCCATTACCTCTTGAACGAATTCGTTAACATTGACATACATAATTAGCCGCAATTTAAAGGTTATGCGTATACTAGTCCTGTGATTTCTACAAAACAATTTTTCTATGAAAATGTATATAGTTTTCTTGAAAAAAAAGTTTTTTTATGGTCGCTTATTATTATACCGAATGATTCATTAGTATTTATTTAGAAATGAATATTTAAAGAGTATTTGAAGTCTCGACACATTTTTATATTGTATGATACATTTATACTTTGCTGTTGTGTTTAATACTAGATGATCTAGTCTAGCTAGATCTACAGCAGAATCTAGAATTGGAGTATGATGCTGAGGTGGACAATAATTACCATCACACATTTCCTCTAAAATCATTATTTTTACTCATAATAAAAGTACTAGCGAAATCATTAAAATGGTGTAAAAACACAAATAATTTTATGTGGAAGCTATAAATTGGGCCCTTAACTACCCTTTTTCGACTGACGTTGAAATCGTAATGTTATAAGTATATTAGGCAATAACTCCACAAAACCAATACTGTGCAAACAACTCAAAAATGAAGAGATGCTGGGTGAAACAATAAAAAAGTTCATTAAAGAAAGAAAAACTAAGAGAGGGGACAGAAAGGCGACTCAGCTGAACTCAGGAACTCGTATAAAAAGTTCTCAAAAGGAATTCGTAAAGATCAGAGGAAGTATAATACTGAGAAAATACAAAAGGCGATTAGAAAAAATGGAAATATGAAGATATGCGTAAGAAAACTTTGTGATGGTAACAATAAAATTATTAAAAGGCGAGAAATGTAATACAACAATAAGCAGAGAGAAAATACTATAGATAAAAAAGTTTTTGTAAAGATGTATATAAAATCAGTCAAAACATAACGATAGAGGAAGTGAAACGGACCCTAAAGGAACTGAAAAACAGCAAGGCTCTGGGAGACGACCAAATAGGAATAGTACGAAGCGATAATCTGCTGGAATATTTAACCTATATCTAAACCAAAGTATAGGCCTTACAAAATGAAGTACTGCAGTTGTAGCATTTTTATTTTCCCAACCTGTATAAAGTTTTAATTCATTTCTTACAAATATTCGAAAGAGGAACACTTCAGATCTTCGAACGTGAAGACATACTCCAAATGTTTATACCTTATCCTAATATCGAATATTAGTACAGCGTTCAACTATTATTGTTATAATAACGACTATATAGAAGGTACTGGTTTAAGCAGATGATTATCTAATTATCTAATATCTAAGATGATAATGATAAGTGGTGTTCCATGATTGTAGGCTTATTTCTTCTTCTTGTTTTACGTGTCTTTGCATGTTTCGTCATTTTCGTCGTTGTGGGATCTGCCTGAATTCTAACATCTGAAAAATATAAGAATATGGGAAGAAATAGGAAAACGAAATTGTATTATAATATTGAAAACGCCTATGTATTCATTTTCGTATCATAGAATCTATGTAAATATAAAATCTAATTAAATATTCATCATTTACTGATTTAGTACGATATCATTCAAAAGAAAAACAAAGAACATTCCCACGCATTGTAATTCATTATAATTTTTCTGCGCATTACACGGTTTCCTTATATAAAGATGAAAGGAAAACCGATTCCTACGTAATATCAAACGTTGATATAATCTCATTATACAGAATGAACTTATTTGTCGAAACTAACTGCCGATTTCATATCGGTGGTATTCAAGGTGGTTTGTTATTTATTATTGTTTTAAATTAGGTTTGAATTGCAGAACTTTTGTGACGACAATCACATTAATTTGAAAATTTCAAGATTAATAGGGGGGTTAAAATAAATTATGTTTATATTGTTCCGATTATTTTGCCTAACACATAGTGTATTACTATAAGGGGTTGAAAATTGGGGACAGACATTACGGGGCTAGAGATAGGGCAAGCAAAACAAACCGAAACGTTTGCGAACGGCTACTCAGGTTTATTTAGAGGTCATGGATAAGTGAATAACTTAGAAGCCACTGTTAGAATACAGGGAAAGAGTTCTAGATCCTTTGAGATACAGGATGGACTCAGACAAGGAGATGCTCTGGCTTGCCTCCTATTTAATATTGCCTTAGAAAAGGCAGTCCGAGATACACGAATTAGGGATGGCGGTACTATTTACAATAGATCGATACAAGTCTTAGCATATGCTGATGACATTGACATAGTAGGGCGTAGCAAGCGAGATGTTGAGCAATATCTCCTACAATTGGAAACAGCGGCGAAACAGGTCGGTCTAGTCATCAACGAAGACAAAACCAAGTACATGTTGGTTACAAAGGATCCGATAGCAAATGAGGAACGAGAAACAGTCTTTGGAAGTCATACCTTTGGACGTGTTGACAACTTCACATACCTTGGGTCGCTATTGACTGCTACCAATAAAACAAGCGAAGAAAATCAAAAGACGAATAAATCTTACAAATACGGCATACTATGGACTCCAAAAGCATTTCCACTCGAGAAACATTCAAAGAAAAACTAAAATTATTATATACAAAACATTGCTGAGGCCGGTCCTCACATATGGAGCAGAAACATGGACTCTAACGCAGAAAGATGAAAGACTTTTGGGAATATTTGAGCGTAAAATACTCCGCAAAATATTTGGGAGCTGTAAACGACCAAGGCAGTGGCGCAGAAGATATAATTTTGAATTGTATCAGCTCTTTGATGAGCCAGATGTCATAACGTTCATTAAAACACAGCGACTTAGATGGGCGGGACACATAATACGAATGCCAAAAAATACCATTGCTAAAAAGCTAACCACAGGAACACCTGTAGGAAAAAGAAGCAAAGGCCGACCGCGAATTAGGTGGTTAGATGGAGTAGAAACCGACTTACGAATATTAAAAATCAGAAGATGGCAACATGTTGCCAAAAACCGAACAGAATGGCGACGAATCTTAGAGCAGGCCAAGATCCACAGAGGATTGTCAAGCCAAAGATGATGATGATGGATAAGTGAATAACAAGGAGACTGAATGGGGAACTACAAAAATGAAGTAAAAAGGTGTATTTATATTGAATCTCTTGGAACAAACAAAACACAAGAAGGTTCTTAAGCTATTTGAAATAAGGACGCCGCTTAGAAGAATCTTCCTGCTGGATGAAAGACAAGCTATTCCTTCCTAAAAAATATAAAAAAGGGTTAGAAACTTTTTAGAGGAAAAAGTTGTTAAAAAACGCCGTTGTACAAATCTCTCAGATGAGAGACGGCATGGAAATAAAACAGTGACTACTCTTATCAAAACTGACACATTACATTGAGTATAATTCACTTTTTCACAACCAATTTGCCGGTTCCTTCAAACTCAACACACCACGTCTGTTGCTATTGCTACACACTACAATTGCCATTTGGATCGCCAACCTTCGGAGGCGCCATGAGAAGAAGAAGAAACTTCTTTGCTCACTTGTGAATATATTTTGCCCCTGAAATTGCGATCAAAACATTGTGTGTATTTAAAACTTTAATCTTTGTCTTTTATTTATAAATTATTTTATGTTGGTTGATTAAACTCGCTTCTGAGTAGTTTTAATATTTAATGATTGGATATAAACAAAGCTTTAATTTATTGCGTCGACAAATTACTATAATTAAAAAGCAAATACATTTTTTAGTACTGTTAACAATGTTTTATTTAATCTAACAAGATTTGCGTAACTACT